TGGAGTATATATATGTATTTCCTTTGGAGTCCTATGGAGTGATGTGTTGCCGTGGTAGAATCGTGGTTAAGCTTCTGTAGGCTTTGGAAGCCCTGCGTTGCTTTCTGTCCTGACTCTCTGGCTCTCCACTTCTTTTATGGTTTTATTTTTGGCTGCCTAGTGTTTGCCATCTGTTTTGTTGCTCAGTTCCCAGGTTCCCTGGCTGCCCACCATGTCCTTAAGTTGTTGATGGTCAGTTCAAACTCAGAGAGATCACTTAGAGAAAAGCATTTTATTCCTACCTGACAGGAACATAGGAAACAGTGAAAACAACAGGACATCTTCCTGGATTGAGCTGCATTTAAAAGGAGATTTAAATTTACTTCTATTTGATGGTTGTGGAAGGTATACTTTGTGTCAGGACTTGTGTTAATTCCTTTTTGGAGAAATGGCAAGAATCTAGGTATATTTAGTTTTTTTTTTCTTTTTCTTTTCTTTTCTTTTTTTTTTAACTTTAACACCCCACCCTCACACCTGGTTTCTCTTAAAGTAGTTCTTTCAGACTCCAAGAAATGAATGTAAGTTGCATAGGTCTAGTGATGCCTTTCAATCACTCTGAAATCCCCAACTTTTTACTATTTACATTTTTCTAAAATTTTTTTGTTCCTTAAATCGTTCTTCATTGACTCTAAATTCCCCTCAATCTGCTGGTACCACACCCCTTCCCTTTGCAGTTGAGTTTCCAGAAGGAGCAGTTTATATCCAGCAGCTTTATGCTTCTCTTTTCACGATCATCCTTTTCCCAACTCTACAATCCATTTGCTTTCTCTCCAACCAATAAAATTATTCTAACAAGGATCACTGTGCTACCTGCTGCTGTATTACAAGCCACGTCAGAACTGCACAGCTTACAGCGGCAACAACTCCCTGTTATTTCTCTTGATTCTATGGGTAACTGGGCTCAGCTGGGCTGTTCTTCTGTTTCACATGGCTCAGGTTGGGTCGCAGTCATCTGAAGGCTCAACTAGGTTGGAATGTCCAAGATAGTCTGAGACTTGCTGCTGGTGAGTCAGCTAAGAGGTCGACTGGAGCTGCTGACCAGAATGCCTTGGTGGGTCTCCATGTGACTTGGACTTCTCAGCATGGTGGCTGGGTTCCAAGGGAGCATTCTCAAGTGCAAAGGCGGAACCCGAAGGTCCCCTAAAGACTAGCCTGGGAGGTTTTACAGTCTCACCTCTCCCCACATTTCACTTTTGGTGAAAACTGGCTACAAGGCAAACCAAATTCAAAAGTTGGGGAATAGAATCCATCCCTCGATAGGTTAGTGGCGTGGTCACATTACAGAAGAGCTGTGGGATGCTGTGGCCGTCTTGTAAACACAGCTATTAAGGATATCCTAATTGACCCAACCAGTCTTCCATAGCACTAGCTTCACTGGCCACTGTCCATGGTGCTGCCTCCTGGTTTCTTTTTTCTCTCTCTTCCCACTCATTCCCAGCCTTCTCAAAAATCCCTCCTTGCTCCTGACGTATTGGTGTTCCCCAGGGGTCTTCACCTTCTTGTCTTTTCATTCTTTATTTCTTCTTAGAAAGTCATATCTGCCTTCTGTTTAAACTGATTCGTTCATTCATTTCACAAATATTTATAAGATAATACTGTGCATATCCCATTTGCTGGACGAAAGGACCAATAGCAGGTTCTGCACTGTGCAGCCCCAGAAAGTGTCATTTACACTGTAGACTGTCTCTGTCCATTTCTGTCGTATCTATTTTATATCATTTCAGTGGTTCTCAATGGGGGGTGATTCTGTTCTGCAGGGGACATCTGGCAATGTCTGGAGACATTTTCCTTCTTACAGTTTGGTGGTAGGGAACTACTGGCATCTAAGGTATGGAACAAGGATGCCGCTAAACAGCCCGCAGTGCACAGGACCGCCCCTCACAAGAACAACCTGGCCCGATATGTCAGGTGTGCTGGATCGAGAACCTCTGTCTGTATCTAGATCCACATTCTCAGTGTTCTGTCTGTCTTAGGCTCTGAGAATGCCATTGTCATCCACGTGCTTGGCCTTCCTGCCTCCAAGGTTGCATCACTCCAATCCGCTTTCACACTGCTGTCAGAGTGACTGGTTTTTTTTGATGCAGTGTAGACGGCTAAACATCTCTTCTGATTTGAAACACATCCGTGGTCCTTCATGGGCCTCAGAAAACCTTTAAACTTTCTACTGTGGCCCATGAGGTATTTTATGACCTGACTTCTTTCTCATCTCTCATCATGTCTTTCTAGTCCTTTTCAGTTCAGCCCTCCTGGCCGCCTTGTCATTTCCAGAATGTACTGTGCTTTCCTCTGCCTCTTGGCCTTTGCAGAGATGCCTCAATCCCAGGGACTGCAGCTAATTCTCCTTCAACTCTAAGCTCAAGCCTCCTCTTCTGGAAAGTTTTCCTGTACTATGACCTCTACCCCGCTTCAGCCCCAGGCTAGACTCAGGGATCCTCCTTTCTGCCCCTTCTCTGAAGACCCATAAATGCCTCTGCATAAATCTGATGCCCCCATAATAACCATAACACCATCCTGTTGTGTTTACATTTTTTTGCTCACATCCTGCCAATCATGCTGTGAACTTTTTTGAAGTCACTGGGTAGCGTTTGCCTCTGTAGTGTTGGGACATACTTGGGGTTTCATCAGTGTTTGCCTACACAAAGGGATCCAGAGTGGCCACCTCTTCTCTTCTTAGTGGTGGATGCTACTGGTTGGCATTAAAGGTAATGTATTTCATTCAAGAAATGAGTTGGAAGCTGAATGTCCACCAGTGGCAAAATAGTTGACTAAATTATGATACATCCTTATTATTGAATGTTTTGCAGCTATTACACAGGTTGGAATAATTGTATTAAACTAGAAAGAAGTCTGTGATGTCTCATTAAGGGAAAATGCATGAAAAAATTGATAGTATAATGTAGAGATGTGTGTAGACGTTTGCATGTGTTTGTATGAACATAGCACATGTGGAAAGATATGCTTCAAACTGCTAACATTGGTTATATTGAACATGCCTTATTATTGTAATCAGCAATCAATTTAAAAGTAATCAGTGGTATTCAGAAATAAATTTCAAGACCAGCTATGAATCTGTAGACAAATAATAAAAATAGGAGATAGTGTAGAAGAATATTTCTTTAATGGCTTAGAGAATGTTTATAAAACCGGCGATGTCTTTTTTGTGTATGTCGAATGGTTATGTATTCATAGAAATAAGTCTGTAAACATTTAGAACAAAACGTTAACAGTGATAATTTCTGGATGGCAGATAATTTTTATTTCTTTTGGCTTATCTGTATTATGCAATTTCAAAACAATGAGCATGTTATTTTCATAATAGAATTAACATTATTTCTAAAAATAGAAGGTAGTATATGAAAACTGGTACCATTCAACTGCCTGTTATCTGAATACTTAAGACTGGAAAAAAACAACAATAGTATGAAATGATTGCAAAATAAACCCATTCGAGAGTGGCAGTTGCCACATAACCTTTTTATTCCTTTCTCGTAGCAAAGACTGAAGGAAGAGAAGGAAGCCAGGCGGGCACGTTTGGATGGTAGACATGACTACTTATTTGCGATTGTAGCTTCCTGCGTGGACCTGAACAAAACTGAAGTGGAGGATGCCATTCTCGAAGGGAGTCAGGTGCGATGCATTTGAGTTCTTGCCAACTTGATCACAGAGGGCACAGGGGGTGCTGGAGGCCGGATGCCATGCTGGGTCTTAGAGGGCAGTCCCTGTTTGAACACGGATAGGATGCCATTCAGCTTCAGTACAGGTGGTAGCAGAGTGAGCTTGGAGTTATCCCTCTCTTTACATTGACTGGAGTACTTGCGATTGTCATATAAGTTCCTTGGTTCTGACGGTGGCTGCAGTGAAGCTGGGCTCAGGCACCGTTTTGGAACCTGAGTTTGGGGAACAGACTCTCTCAACTGCTGATTTATCCTTTTTTGAACCTATCTCGTTCTGAGCTGGGTGATTGAATTGTACCATCGTTTCCTGGGTTCGACAACCAAATCTGGTTTCTTTTGTTTCCGACCTTGACTTCCATTTTCTGCTATGATTTCCCTCCAAAACCTGGGGTGTGATTTGACCTTGGATGGGGAAGATCATACATGGGTGGCTATAATTTCCTGGGCGGTGAGAAAGGCAGGTCAGGAGCCCTGTGGTAATCTCTGAAGTTTTTTTTTCTTATTATTAGGCTTTAAAGAGGGTATGGGGGGAGTGGCTTTTGTTGACAGGGGTGTCACACTGTTGATAATGCTTTTCAGTGGAGGCTTGTAAATGTTTGACAACCAAGGCTTTGGGTAAGAGGGTGGAGGGAGACACTAGTCTGGGCATTTGTTGATTTCTGTTCTGTAAATACTCCCACCAGTGCCGATTCCAAACTACCAAACAGATATTACTCAACGCCAAGTTGAGTTGTTGTCATCATTTGGCTCCAGCATTCCACTGGCTTTGTTCCTTCCCGCTGTGTCACTCTGCTGGGCTTAATAGGAGTCCGTGGGACGGTTAAGGGTGGATAACACTGAAACAGTTCAACTACAGGGCGAATCAGTCAGGAGTTAAAGAAATTCCTTCTTCTCTTCTTTATTCTCTTCATCACAGCTAACTATTGACTGTTTACCATGTGCTAGTCTCTGTTCTAAGTGGGGTTCAGCTATTAGCCCATTTAATCTCCATCATACCAAGCAGTAAGTAATATTATTTGCCAAAAATGGAGGCACAAAAGGAGACAGAGTCACATAACCGCTTCAGTTTCGGGGACTCTGTTCATGAGTCCAGTGCTTAACTGCCCTTCTTCCTAGTTCAGACATCTGTGTTTGGGGGATGAATGAACTGTAGGAAGCCCAAGTCAAACTGCTGTGTCGTGATTAGAACCCAGGAATGTCAAACTGGAGGTTTAAAGAAAGCATCCTGGCTCAGGCTTACGCGCAAGGCTAGAGGGGCGGGGGTTTCTGTACTGGCCGTGATGGGAATATCTCCACTACATTCCTGGCTTGGAAGTTAATCTCACGGAATGCATCCTACTCAATCCCGTGGCATCCTCAAGAAAGAAAATGTAACAAAGAAAACAGGGCAGGTTGCTTTTTAATATACATATTTTTTATTTAATGGCTTTATCTATGACATAGTAGAAATTGAAAGGGGGTTATTTTCACATTTAAATTTTTCAGGCTTTATTTTACCCTTTAAAACTTTTTTTATTTTAAATTGTGGTGACATACACATAACATGAAATTTACCGTGTTAACTATTTTTAAGTGCACAGTTTGACAGTGTTAAGAACATTCACACTGTTGTGTAGAGAATCGTCAGAACTCTTTTCATCTTGCAAAACCGAAATGTGATGCCTGTAAACAACTTCCTGTGACCCCCAACCCCCAGCCCTGGTGACCACCATCTCCTTTCTTTCTGTGAATCGGACAATTTCGGATGCCTCAACTGAGTGTAATCGTACTGTATTTGTCTTTTTTTTTGACTGGCTGATTTCACTTAGCAAAATGTCCTTAAGGTTCATCATGTTGTAGCATGTGCCAGAATTTACCTCCTTTTAAGGCTGGTTCATTTTTCATCCTATGTGTGTACCGCATTTTATCCATTTATCTGTCGAGGAATAGTTAGATTGCTTCTGCTTTTTGCTTACTGTGAATAATGCTGCTATGATCATGGGTGTCCAAGTATCTGCAAGATCCTGCTTTCAGTTATTTTGGGCATATACTTAGAAGTGGAATTTCTGGATCATCTGGTAATTCTATCTTTAATATTTTGAGGAACTGGCATGCTTCTTTCCACAGTGACATTTTACATTCCCACTTACGGTGCACAAGGGTTCCAATTTCTCAATATCCTCGCCAACATTTATTGTTTTTGTTTTTTTTGACAGTAGCCACCTTAACGGGTATGTAGATTTTATCCTTTTTCTTCCGATTTTAATTTAAAACTGTGCTATTGACTATTTAAAAGAAGCTTTCTCATTGGTGGCAGGCCAGTTGGCAGACCTGTAGATGTACAGTGAACCTCATGATGGGGACCAAGTTCCATGCTGCTGTTGGCTGGATTGTCCCATAGTCACCTGTGTTCTCATGGCATTTTTCAGTGATTACTGAAATTTAACATTAATAATTATCTCTAATGTGTTAGACTGGGTTTTGGGAGGTTTGTTTTTTTCTTTCTGATCTGCAATTGAGTGAAAGCGAAACACTCATCTATATTTATATCTGCCTGTAACAGCTCAGTACTTTACGAAATTAGCAAAAATGGAGGGACGATCTCTTTCTGCATGTGCATATATAGCAAATTTTAGAAAAATTAATTGAAATACTTCTTTGAACTGAATCTTTGCTGTGTGAGGCATTTATTCTTTCACGGTTTTTATGTCGAAACAAATGGGGTGCCTCCTATGTGGTGTGCCTTAGATGTAGCCCTGCGTAAGGAAGATGACGGTAAGTGCTGGTTTAAATGCATTTTCTAATTCAGGACAACGTTGTTACTGTGCCTTTTTTTCCCCCCGCAGATTGATAGAATCGATCAGCTTTTTGCTGTTGGAGGTCTTCGTCATGTGATGTTTTATTACCAGGATGTGGAGGTAGCAGAAACAGGTATCCAACTTTGACGTAACAAACCCAGAAATACGTTGTTAGATTTATCTGAGGAGGATATGAAGCAGGAGGCCACTGTGAGAACCGACCAGGCCTCTCACACCGTTTGTCACCTGAGGATGGGGGACAGGTGGGCACCAGTGAAGTGTGCTGGGTGAGGCCCAGGTTCTGTTTTCACCTCAGGGAAAAGGGGTAGGTATTTAGCTTGGTTGTTCTAACTTTATTTGGGATATTTTGTTTTCCTTTTCAGGCTGTGCTGTTAATTAAGGAATCAGAAACTAATTAAACTTTCTTCATATCCTAGTTCATTTAATGCAGCTATATTCCAGAACTTATGGGCATCTGTTTCTTCTCTACATAGGCACTGTTTCTTTTTAACGTAGGGAATGTTGCCAATAAGCATAGCATGAGTCTTCCGGTTAAATATCACACTCTGTTTATCTTTCACTGACGACGATTCAGACGAGTGATATTGAGTGGCAAGTTTAGTCATTTTCACTTAAGAAAAATTTGCAAATCTCTGTGTAGATTCAACTGGTGAATCCCAGTCTACTCTTCTGCAGATTCATATAATTTTAAAGCCAAACTAGGAACATAAACAAATATATTGTGACTATATTAAAATATCGTATGTATCCTTTTATTACTTTTTTTTGAAGGGAAAATAGTTACTGCTCTTGGTATATCAGATGACTATGCTTTTTTTGTTTAAAAACTGAGGAAATTGTGCACGCATATGCTAAACGACTGGCATTTTCCCAGCATTATCTATGTGATATTTTGCGGTCAGAAAGTTCATTATATTTTGAGTGAAAAGTCAAAATAATACAGAATTTTTGAATTCTATCCCAGATTGCGAAACTCATAGAACGTTGAGTTCATCCATCAACGGCACTGGGTAAAACTGGCCATTGTGCTGTATAAATCTTATGTCGAACAAGAAGGGTTTACGGGACGGAACATAAATGCAAGTTTATTTTTGTTCTCACTCTCCCTTTAAACATTTTCAGTGGGATTAAAATTCAGAGAATCCCATAAATTGTCATGGATATAATGGTCCTGGTTTGCCTGAGATTTGCCCAGTTTTAGCACTGAAAGTCTCATGACTTAGGAAACCCTCAGTCCTGGGCAAACTGGGACAGTCGGTCACCCCCTGCTTGACCTGAAGTATAAGTGGAAGCATTTCATACCACTGCCCTTCCCACGGCACAGCCGTCCACACAAAATCCTTCCTTAGTCCATACTCTCCTGAGCCTTCTGAATTCTGATGTGGGCAAGATGTTTAATCAGTTCTAGGACACCTACTTTGAAATTTCTGCAGAAAATTTTTTTTTTTTTTGCATTAAAAGTCTCTTTGTTTTCTGGTATGTATCATACCAGATACATGATAGAAGTTTCTGGTTGAAACTTCTAGTTTAACTTCTTACTCATGAGACCCAGGTAATATGAGTCAGAAGTATGGGACATAATTTGGAACGAGAGAGAGAGAGAGCTTCTGGTTACCTTTCTTGGTGGGGTTCACTGTCAGCTCCCGGTTCAAGTCTCCAGCCCAGCATCACAGTGGGAAGAGCCCAGGTGAGGAATTCATGCAGAGGTTGGAATCCCAGGGTCTTAAGATTCAACTTCCAGTTCACTCTCCTCCCCAAGTCCCTCCATAGCACTGTCCTCATCACCTTGCATGACCTCCCTATTCATTTGGAGATATAAAACTTTGTTGGACACATGGGGCACAGTGGAATAGCTCAGAGCATACTCTGTGTACTTAAATGGTCCACTTAAATGAGCCACATGCTTATACCACAAAAAACGAATTTTCAAATAATAATAATAATAATGTGCAGTGAGCTAGTGTTTTTATGTGCTTTTGTAAGCACTTTACAGATATTAACTTATTCAATCCTCACGACAATTCCAGATGCTGGGTTTAATATTATTATTCCCACTTTTCCGATGATAAAACCGAGGCACAGAAAGATCAAGTAATTTGCCCAAGGTCGCATGGCTGAGCTGTGCAGCTTGAGGTCAAAGCCCCAGGAGTCTGACTGTAGCGCCCACACCGTTCTTCGCGATGCTGTCCTGCTTCCACATGATCCTGACTCTAGCAAGGAGCTGAAGGGCCAGCCAGACCGTGACAGAGATGGAGTAGCGGGAAGTGGGGTGCTGTCTGGAGTTCCGTAGTTCGAGCTGGTTTTTAATCTTGGCTGTGCTGCCTGTTGGCTGAGTGACTTGGCATAGGACACAGCTGCCTTTAGAGTTGTAGGGACTTTTGGTAACGTAGACAAGGTACCAAGCAGAGGGCCTGGCACAGAACATGCTGGGAGATGCTGTCTCCTCCCTCGCCCCTTCTCACTGCCCCGCGAAGGCTCAGAGCAATGGAGACAAGCTTTGTAGCTTCAGCAAGAATCTGCTCTGGACCAAACTTTCTTATTTCTGCTCCTCCCATTCCTGGTTTGTTTGTTTGTTTTTTTTTTCCTGGAGCAGCAATTTTGAAATGAACCTGTAATTGAGAATCAAGCAGATTCTTTTAGATCCCTTGAGGGCTCAGGCTAAAGATTATCCAAGTGGTGGACCTTCTGGGCACGTGACAATACCTCAACAAGGAAACTTCATGCCACGAGGCAACCACGTGGACGGCAGATAGCTTCTGTGAAACTAAAATTCTTTTGCATTTGTAGGACAACTTGACTCTTCCGGAAAAGTGAAGAAACCGAAGGTGTTCGTGACTGAGGGGAAAGATGTTGCTCTCACTGGAGTGTGTGTGTTCTTCATCAGGACCGACCCTTCCAGAGCCGTCACCCCTGAGAACATCCACCGGGTAAGCAGCAGAGCTGTCCTTCACGCCAACAGCCGAGAATCATGGAAGTTTTACAGGAGACAGTAATCCCTGTGGAGACAACCATTGTGTTCATTAAATAAGTATCTAAAACTACTTTCAAAGACATATTTTTAAAAGCATTGAAAGCAAGGAATTAAGAGGACATTTTCTTTAAATCTGTTGGGTAAGAGGACTTAATCTTCAATTTATTAACAAAAACTGATGTAACATTATATGTGCGTTTGTGCATTTGTGTGAGCGTGCATGTGTGTATATGGATGTTTGTGCATGTATATGTGTCACAATGAGTTTTTCTCTTTTAAAAAG